TCAAAATTTTTTAAGATGTGGATGATGAACACATTCGAATGGGGAATAAAGTTCAATCATGAGGTTGTTGGCAAATGAAGCATAAACTTTCAATTTACATCCGATAAGAAGATGACGTTGATAAATATTTTACATGTACTATATATGAATAGAAATCTTGTAAGTTGTGATTTGTTGGAAAAACTCGGAATCAAGTCCACATATGAGTCGGACAAATTTGAACTTTTCCAAAATGGTGTATTTGTTGGAAAAACGCTAATGTAGTGATAGAATTGTCAAACTTTATATTATTAAAAATAATATCAATAAAATTACAAATTTGATTTATGTTGTTGAGTTTATAGAATGATATGTTAGGACATATTGGATATTTTACTTTAAAAAGAATGATAAAAATCAGAATGATTTCATGTGAAAACACAGAACATAATAAATGTGAATTATGTGTTAAGTCTAAAATGATTAAGAAACATTTTGTCACTGTGTTAAAAGGATATTAATTTATTAGACTTAATTCATTTCGATATATGTAAATTAAATAGAATGTTAACTAAAAGAGGTAATAGTTACTTCATAACATTCATAAATGATCATTTTAGGTTTTGCTATATCTAATTGAAGAAACATAAGGATGAAACATTTAGCATGTTTAAGATTTATAAATTTGAAGTAGAAAACCAATTAATTAAAATTCTTAGAAGTAATAAGGAAACTGAATACTTCTCTAGTAAATTTAATCTTTTTTGTGAACATGGAATAATACATCAAATATAGTCCACCTAAAATACTGGATCAAAATGATTTGACTAAGAGAAAGAACACTAGTTGAAATGATAAATGCTATGTTATTATGTGTTAAGTTGCCATCTAACTTATGTGGTGAAGCTTTATTAAGTGCGTACCACATAGTTAATATAATTACTTCTAAAAGATTTAACGTTTTTCCTTATTAATTGTGGAAAATGAGAAAACCAAACATTAATTGTTTCAATGTGTCAGGGTGTTTTGCTTACGGTAAGAATATGGATCCTAAAAAGACTAAGTTGAGTCTTAAAGATTAAATACGCTTTTGTAGGATATGTCCAAAATAACAAAACATATCGTTTTTTAAACTTGAAATCAATATTATTATTGAATATCATGAAATAGAGTTCTTTGAGAATTTTTTATCTTCAGATAATAATTTTTAAGGAACCTCAGGTGGAGATTTCTAATTCTGCAAAATCAAAAGTAGAAACACCTTTCAAGGGTGTTGAAACAAGTGAGCTTCACAAAAGCAAAATAACTCGAAAAGAGAAAGTGTTAGGACCTGATAAATTTGACTCTAAACTTACTTCTTTCTATTTGGTTGAGGGAAATGAGAAGAGTGTCGCTAGAACTATTTCGTATGTTTTTCAAGGAAAAATCGATCCAAAAAATTATCAAAAAGCAATGTAATCTAGAAATAGCATCTTTTGGAAAGATGCTGTAAATGATGAAATAGATTCAATAATATCAAACAACACTAGGAAATTAGTTGATTTACCACTTAGATTGTAAATCAACTAAAGACTGAAATTCTTAATATCTTTAAGATTATATAGGTAGCCAAAGGATATTGACAAAAGGAAAAAAAAGATCACTTTGAGACCTAACATCAATTAGTATTTTATTCGTCGTAGCTTCTATCTATGATTTGTATTTATATCTAATGGATGTTAAGAGGACATTCTTAAATGAGGATCTTGATGATGAGGTTTATATGGAACAACCAGAATATTTTGTTCTACTCGAAAATGATAATAAAATATGCAAGTTAATTAAGTCCTTGTACAGATTAAAATAATACCAAATAAATGGCATGAAAAGTTTGACTTAATAATAATGCTTTAAATTTAAACATAATAGTGTTGATAGATGTTTATATTCAAAAGCATGTGATAATCATGTTATGCTTATTTGCTGATACATGGATGACATGTTGATTGTAAACAAATAAGTTTTTATCTTCCACGTTAAAAAAATGAAAGATTTTGATCAAGTGGATACCATATTAGGTATCAAAGTCACCCAAACTAATGGGAGTTACATGTTGAGCCAATTATATTATATCTATAATGTGATTAATAAGTTCAATTTCTTGAACATTAAAGAGAGTAATACTCCATTTGATCCAAGTTTGAAATTTGTTAAGAATGATGAAACAACAATAGCACAACTTTCATATACAAGTGCTATACGAAGTCTCATATATGTTGTGCAATGTACAAGACTAGACATAAAATTTGCAAGTGGTAAACTTAGTAGGTTTACTAGTAATCCAAATAAAGAACATAAAAGACTATTGGGATGGTTCTTGATTATTTTAAGAAAACTAAGGATTTAAGTCTCCAATATTCAAGATTTTCGACAATTTTAGAAGGATTTAGAGATACTAGTTGGATATTTGATGTATGTGAGAATAAGTCCCCCTCAAGTTGGATGTGTACTCTTAGAGGAGGTGCAGTTACTTGGTAATCCAAGAAACAAACGTGTATTACTCACTCAACTATGAAATCTGAATTTGTGGTATTGGCTGAAACCAGAAAAGAAGATGAATGACTTAATGTATGAAATTCTATTGGGAGAAATGAATAATTCTTCTATATCTATCATATGTGATAGTTAAGCTACTTTAGTTAAAGCATACAATGAAGTGTACAATGGTAAGTCTAGGCATATGATTCTAAGACATGATTATGCAATTAAATTAATCAAAGATGAAGTAATTTCACTTACTTATGTAAAGTTAAATGAGAATTCGGTTGATTCGTTCACTAAACCACTCACAAGGGAATTGGTATAAACAACAATTAAGAAATTTTGCACAAATGATACTTAGGAATATAAATAAGTAAAGCACAATCTCTTAGTTAATATATACAACATACATATATGTGTGTGTGTGTGTGTGACTTAGTTAAAACATAAAGGCTCATCGAATTGCTCGATCATAGGAGAATGATAAACTAATAGGACGACTTGAAGTGCCCCATCTTCCGAGTTGTGCACCGAATGAGTACTTTGCCCTTGAAATCTATCCAAAGCAAAAGATAGAGGATCGAACTTTTTCCTTCGATTGACACGAGCTCTATTTATATAGAAGAGATTGTCAAGATAGTTTCGCAGTATTTTCAAATACAACAAAACCAACTATTACATAAGCTATTGTTCGACTCGAAGTTGGAGCAAGCAAACCTATGTGGCCATTAAACTTGAGGAAATTAGAGGTAGATTCTCTTTGGTGCAAATAGGGTTTGGGAGAGAGGGGTACAACAGTGTCTTAGAGTGTGTTTGGTAGGGATTTTAGGGAGAAGAATTGATTTTTGAATAGTGATATGATGGGAAATGTGTGGTTGAAAAAGAAGAAAAAATTATTGATGGGATGGAAAATATTTT